TCCTGTTTGCAGGTATGTAGATTTGCGATATCTATAATACGACCCATTTTCGCCCTGAGGTGCCTATATTATTTTTCGTGACATGCATGCCGGAAGTTTAAACATTCGCGTCTTTTGGGTTCGGATGACAGCTGACACGGTGTAAAATACTCTATAAAATTCAGTTTCGTATAGATATAGAGGGACGAACTTTTGAACTTTCGACAAAGATGTGACAAAAAATATTTTCTTCACAGCGTTACATTTTTATTTCATCGTTGATTTTAATTAAGGTGGGTAGATGGATATTTCTCCAGGCACGATAACCTTATGTACGGCGTCCCGATATAGGAAATTACTTTTTAACGAAAATAAAGTTGCAGTTATGTAAGGAACTTGGTTCGTTTACCCATACGCTGACTTGTTATTGCGAAAGAACTCGCAGGAAAAGAGGATTTACGCGGGGGAGGGGGGTGACATAAATAAAATGACTTGGTAGTTAAAGCACGTTATTTTGAGCAGCCAACGTTGAAATCTCAAGCAAGAAATTTTCTCTGCTCGAGAGAATTTGCGTAATGCAAGCATTATTATTTCAAATTAAATTCACTCCGAATGCCTTTCCATAATAAACATTGCCCGGAATTTTTATATTCACATTTTTGGTCGATGTTGGGAGGCGCTGCTTAATTTAGAAAGACTTACATTTTTATGTCCTAAGCAGGCGGACAAGAGACCGTATAAAAGTTTATACCTCATTCTTGTGGTAATAAAACAAAAAGCGCATTTCATGTATAATGTTAAGAAACTCCTGAACGAACAGTATTTAATAACACAGATCTATGTATAGTTGGGACGATCAAAATCGACAAAGTCCGCGATAAATTTACAGGTCTGCGAAATATTTTTTTTGAAAAGTGTTTTCTTAAATTGTTAATATTTGTCGTAATTGTCTTAGAAGTAATAGGAAACGATATTCAGATGGTATATACCACGTCAGATTAACTCATAAATGCTTAGAGAACACATTTCCATTTGAACCCTTGCCACGTAATGAGTGCGACGAAAAAATATTCGATAACCAGTGTTTCTATGTTTTTAACGATGCTCTTTTCGATGGTGTTGGTTAAAAATACCTCCGACAATATTAAAGCATGGAAAGATCGAAAATAAACAAAAAAAACGTGATTTTTGAATTGACTTTTTCCTTAAAAAGTATTTTTTTGTGTCCTTACGATTTTTTTATATGCTTAAAACCTATATAGATCATGACCTCGATATCTAAACATGAAATAATCACCGTTGGTCAAGTCGAAATGCCTTTACAAACTGTTTGATCAAACCATGTTTAATGTAAAGTGGTGGAAGCAATACTTTTTCGGGATCTTTCAAACTTGTATTGATGACATTTTTTACTCCGACTTCCAATTGCATTCTAATTTGGACATAGGAATACCGAATAACAATGATTTTGATTTACCATAAGTCCACTGTCTTAACACTTCAAAACATAACCGCCATACTTTATCGTAACCAACCCACTGTTTATCTTGCTGACACAACTTCATTCTGAAGTAAGCTTAATAACCACATTTTACAAAGTTTATTATATTCAATGTTTGCTTAACTATTGTATATTGTCCGCAAATGTAACAAAATACTAGGGTCAATTGAAAAGTCCCCGGCCTGACACATAGATGGCGGCACCAGAACTAAATCCATATGATTTTCAGTTAGTCCTAACCTTCAAAAGACGCGTCTATAAATTTGACGGCTGTCGGATCATTAGTTTGTGAATTATAGCATTTTTAGTGAAGCAACTTTTGTTATTGTGAAAAAAATGGATAAAAAGGAATTTCGCGTGTTGATAAAATATTGCTTTTTGAAGGGAAAAAATACAGT